TACCTGAAATAAAATAAATAATAAAATAAACGGACCTGACAACAGGGAGTTTTAAGCCCCTTTCAGATGGGGTGGATCCATCAGTGTGATCCACCTGCTCAGCAGGGGATCTCTCCGCTGAGCAGTCAGGTGACAGGTCTGTGTCTGCTCCACTGCTACAGAGAGCGGGCACAGACACGGCCCGCTGATTTCAGTGGCACGGTTGGATGGAAACAGACCGGCTGTCCGTTTTCACCCGATTGTCATCTGAACCGCTGGACGGATGGGGAACGGATCCCCATTAATCCGTTTTTGGAGTACAGGATCGGATCGGATGCCGGTAGGTGCCAGCGGACTATTGTTCATCCAAACCGTGAGATTGGTCAGAGACTCATTGGTATCATTCTGTGCATTGCCAGACTAGGTCTTAGTTACAGAGTGAAGGGTGATGCTGCTCATACTATGTGGAAACCTCATCTCCATCATGGACATTTTCTTCAGCTTCCTTCTCTTCTTAGTAAATATGATAGAAATCTTCACAATGCTATAGAAGAGGTTGGGGTCTGGAGTAGTCATGGAAAGGCCCAGAACCCCAATAGTAGAGGAAGAGGTGGTCTGGTGACATTGAGATGAAGACTCCGGTCAGTCTCTGGATCTCCATCACTGGAAACATGGTGAGACAACAAATACCCCGGGATGGTGGAGGAGCTGTTGGTGTCAGTGTGGAAATGGACAGAACACGGGAGGATGACACTGAAAGAACAATACGGCTTCATTCTACGATATGTCAAAGAGAGAACGGTGCAGGAGAGACTTTTCTCTCTAATAAATATCAGTAGAAGACCCGGAGAAAGCCTGTTCTGTGTTCTGAAAGAGCAGATGGAACAGTTCTCCTTGTGGGTTCTTATTATTACTCTATAGCTAGTGACTATGACTGTCATGGTCCTAATACTCTACTTTACCTGACCACTGCACTCTATACACAGGGCTGTATATGACATGGTCCTGAGCACTGCACTCTATACACAGGGCTGTATATGACATGTTCCTGACAACTGCACTCTATACACAGGACTGTATATGACATGCTCCTGACCACTGCACTCTATACACAGGGCTCTATATGACATGCTCCTGACCACTGCACTCTATACACAGGGCTGTATATGACATGCTCCTGACCACTGCACTCTATACACTGGGCTGTATATGACATGCTCCTGACCACTGCACTCTATACACTGGGCTGTATATGACATGCTCCTGACCACTGCACTCTATAGACAGGGCTGTATATGACATGGTCCTCTTGATACACTGGGCTGTTATATGCCTGGCACTCTATACACAAAGCTGTATATGACATGCTCCTGACCAACTCTCTGTATATGACATGCTCCTGACACTGCACTCTATAGACAGGACTGTATATGACATCCTCTTGAACACTGTACTTTATATGCCTGGGTGTATGACCACTGAACTCTGTACACTGAGCTATATGATATACTCCTGACCACTGCACTCTGTACACTGAGCTACAGTATATATAATATACTCCTGACCACTGAGCTATATAGGATATATTCCTTACCACTGCACTCTCTGTACGCTGAGCTGAGCTATATATAATATACTCCTGACCACTGAACTCTGTACACTGAGCTATATATAATATACTCCTGACCACTGAACTCTGTACTCAGATATATATGATATACTGCTGACCACTGAACGCTGAGCTATATATAATATATTCCTGGCCACTGAACTTTGTACACTGAGATATATGATATACTCCTGACCACTGCACTCTGTACACTAAGCTATATAGAATATATTCCTGGGATCTGAATTCTGTACACTGAGATATACAGTGGGGATCGAAAGTTTGGGCACCCCAGCTAAAAATTTGTATTAATGTGCATAAAGAAGCCAAGGAAAGATGGAAAAATCTCCAAAAGGCATCAAATTACAGATTAGACATTCTTATAATATGTCAACAAAAGTTAGATTTTATTTCCATCATTTACACTTTCAAAATAACAGAAAACAAAAAAATGGCGTCTGCAAAAGTTTGGGCACCCTGCAGAATTTATAGCATGCACTGCCCCCTTTGCCAAGCTGAGACCTGCCAGTGTCATGGATTGTTCTCTCATCATCGTCTGGGAAGACCAGGTGATGTCAATCTCAAAGGTTTTAAATGCCCAGACTCATCTGACCTTGCCCCAACAATCAGCACCATGGGTTCTTCTTAGCAGTTATCTAGAAAACTGAAAATAGTTGACGCTCACAAAGCTGGAGAAGGCTATAAGAAGATAGCAAAGCGTTTTCAGATGTCAATATCCTCTGTTCGGAATGTAATTAAGAAATTGCAGTCATCAGGAACAGTGGAAGTTAAAGCAAGATCTGGAAGACCAAGAAAAATATCAGACAGAACAGCTCGCAGGATTGTGAGAAAAACAATTCAAAACCCACGTTTGACTGCACGATCCCTCCAGAAAGATCTGGCAGACACTGGAGTTGTGGTACACTATTCCACTATAAAGAGATACTTGTACAAATATGGTCTTCATGGAAGAGTCATCAGAAGAAAACCTCTTCTACGTCCTCACCACAAAAATCATCGTTTGAACTTTGCAAATGAACATATAGACAAGCCTGATGCATTTTGGAAACAAGTTCTGTGGACCGTTGAGGTAAAAATTGAACTTTTTGGCCGGAATGAGCAAAGGTACGTTTGGAGAAGAAGGGGCACAGAATTTAATGAATAGAACCTCTGTCCAACTGTTAAGCATGGGGTTGGATCAATCATGCTTTGGGGTTGTGTTGCAGCCAGTGGCACAGGGAACATCTCACGAGTAGAAGGAAAAATGGATTCAATAAAATTTCAGCAAATTTTGGATGGTAACTTGATGCCATCTGTGAAAAAGCTGAAGTTAAAGAGAGGATGGCTTCTACAAATGGATAATGATCCTAAACACACCTCGAAATCCATGGGGGATTACATCAAGAGGCGTAAACTGAAGGTTTTGCCATGGCCTTCACAATCTCCTGACCTCAACATAATTGAAAATCTATGGATAGACCTTAAAAGAGCAGTGCGTGACAGACAGCCCAGAAATCTCAAAGAACTGGAAGACTTTTGTAAGGAAGAATGGGCAAAGATACCTCAAACAAGAATTGAAAGACTCTTGGCTGGCTACAAAAAGCGTTTACAAGCTGTGATACTTGCCAAAGGGGGCAGTACAAGATATTAACTCTGCAGGGTGCCCAAACTTTTGCAGACGCCATTTTTTTGTTTTCTGTTATTTTGAAAGTGTAAATGATGGAAATAAAATCTAACTTTTGTTGACATATTATAAGAATGTCTAATCTGTAATTTGATGCCTTTTGGAGATTTTTCCATCTTTCCTTGGCTTCTTTATGCATATTAATACAAATTTTTAGCTGGGGTGCCCAAACTTTCGATCCCCACTGTACATGATATATTTCTGACCACTGCACTTTGTATACTTGCTGTATATGATATAATTCCTGGCCACTGCACTCTGAGCTGGTATATTTCTGACCACTGCATTCTGTACACTGAGCTATATATGGTATATATTCCTGACCACTGCACTCTTTACACTGAGCTATATATAATAAACTCCTGACTTCTGACCACTGTACACTGAGCTATATAGGATATAGTTCTGACCACTGTACACTGAGCTATATTGTAATGGCAACTTTGGGAATTCCAGGTAAAACTCCGGACACGAACTTGAGGAAAACAAGCTTTTATTAACCATCTGGTGACCTATCATCTTACAGGGTATACATATCAGCAATTATGTCACAATGCATATATTTTTCCTCTTTCACTTTCCATACATTTAAAAGACTTTCTAAGCAGTGCAGGATCATGGCCTTGCTACATTATCTTCAGCTGAAAATAAGGGTGCCAGCTACAGACTGGAACACATTATTTCACAGGAAATAAGGGAGGGGGGAAGCGAGTTGATGACCTTGGTTTGCAAACAGATTTTGTTAGAAATGTTAAAACTTAAGGGGAACTCTACAATATTTGGGTGCTGCCACAATATATAATATTCTCCTGGCCACTGAGCTCTGTACACTGAGCTATATATGATATAGTTCTGACCACTGCACACTCTGTACACTCTGAGCTATATATGATATACTCCTGACCATGCACTCTGTACACTGACTATATATGATATACTGACTGCACTCTACAACTGATATATATGATATAGTTCTGACCACTGCACTTTGTATACTTGCTGTATATGATATACTCCTGCCCACTGCACTCTGTACCCTGAGCTATATATGATATACTCCTGCCCACTGCACTCTGTACACTGAGCTATATATGATATAGTTCTGACCACTGCACTTCGAATACTTGCTGTATATGATATACTCCTAGAAGCATTTTTTTTTTCATCATCGCACCGACACAATTATTTTTTTTCCGTCAATACATTTTTTATTACAAATTAACTTTTAACAAGACTGCAGACAAAAATAGACCTCTAAGTGTTTTTGAAACCCTACATCATAAATCGTACTCAGCCAATGAAAGGTGATGATGCCATTTTTATTCTTCTCCTGCCATCATTGGCCAACCCGGTCCCACACTTCATCCGTGTCTTTGGTGACCTCTGATCTCCTTATGAACTGTTTCTTCCATGATGAAGATCAGCCATGGAGTATATCTGAGGTGTATATCAGGGTGTGCTTCTTCCTCACATGAGAGCTGGGATGTCCAGCAACATTCATCTAGAAGACATTTCCCACACTCAAGGCACTAATACACCTCCAGGGTTGTGTGGGATCTCTGATGTAGAGTAAGACAGGACTTCAGTGAGGAACATTTCCCTCACTCAGGACAGGAAAGTGGCTTCTCCACCGTGTGAAATCTCTGATGTCTGTAAAGACTGGACTTTTGTGAAAAGCATTTCCCGCACTCAGGACAGGAAAGTAGCTTCACGCCCTGTGTGAGATCTCTGATGTCTGTACAGATTAGACTTCCCTGAAAAACATTTCCAGCACTCAGGACAGGAATACGGTTTCTCCCCTGTGTGAGATCTCTGATGTGTGACAAGATCTGATTTTTGTGCAAAAAACTTCCCGCACTCAGAACAGGAATATGGCTTCTCACCCGTGTGCCATTTCTGGTGTCGGTAAAGAGACGACTTATCTGAAAAACATTTCCCCACACTCGGGACAGGAAAATGGCTTCTCCCCCATGTGAGAACTTTGATGTTTACCAAGATGTGATTTATTTCCAAAACATTTTCCACACTCAGGACAGGAATACGGCTTTTCCCCCGTGTGAGATCTTTGATGAATGGAAAGAGTGGATTTTCTTGAAAAACATTTCCCGCACTCAGGACAGGAATGTGGTTTTTTCTCACCCGTGTGCTGTCTTAGATGATCATAAAGATGTGCCTTCTCTGAAAAACATTTCTTGCACTCAGAACAAGAAAACGGCTTCTCCCCTGTGTGAGACCTTAGATGCGTGAAAAGACGTGATCTATTTACAAAACATTTCCCGCATTCAGAACAGGAATATGGCTTCTCACCTGTGTGAGACCTCTGATGTCGGTAGAGATTGGATGTCTTTGAAAAACAATTCCCACACTCAGGACAGGAATATGGCTTGGCACCTGTGTGAGTTCTTTTATGTTCATTAAGATTGGATTTAGAATGGAAACCCTTCCCGCACTCAGTACAGGAGAACCTCTTCCCTGTTGGAAGGCCGGCCCGGTCCCGCACAGTCTGAGGTTCCTCAGAATACGAGGAATCCGATGGTCCATCTACACTGGGTGGTGCCGGATGGACATTGGAGGGAGCCGGGTTTTCTCCTGGACTATACTGTGTGATGTCCTCATCTTCTACTTTCCAGTCTGGAGACAAAGTGAGACAATCCTCGGAGGTTTTCCTCATCTCCCGGCCATGGACTAAAATACAAAGACAAAGAGGATTACTAAACAGGAGCTGATTGGTTCCCCCAAACCAGGACTCTGCCCACATCAGGCAGCTTGGTCTCTGAGGAGCTTACAATTCCACCCTCAAGGAAACTAGGAAATGGCTCCTCTGATCTCCTACCAGGTCATTTCTTTATTCATGGACCTTAGTCAGAGAGTGAGGAAACAACCAGAACTGTCTTTTATAGGAGGGACAGTGATGAGGGGATTATAGGACGAGGGTCCCACCCCCTCTATCACTCATCGCCATCTTCCCAACACAAGAAGTACTGCACTTCCTTATTTAGTCCATGTTTTGGTCATGAAGAACAGCGGGGCTGAGCCCCACCAGAGGTCAGAGAGTGAGGATAGGGGGAGAACAACCAAGATGAAGACTGGACTGATCCTGAAGACCACCATCATTGGGTTATAGTCCCCACCCTACCCTGGACCAATCAGTGAGCAGTATGGGTGGAGGAATGGATTTAGTGTTCATGACCCACCTGTGCTGATCTCTGCAGGAGTGTCCTCCTCTATAAATGTCCCCGTTATTCCATCCTCCTCCATAGACTGCTGATTATCCCTCACATACGCCTCTTCTTCTTCTGATTTAACCTCACACTTTTATATCTATCAGATCTTCACCCTAAACCAAGAGAGAGAGAAAATAAAATATCATCTGTAAAATATAAGCTTTAATATTGTGACATCACATTAAAAAAAACTCCACATCATCTCCATGTATCCATGTTCCACATGCTCCATCCCACCAACCTTGAAACAGTGAGGGATGGTGTGATCTTCCTGTGTGGAATCCTGGGAATACAGAGGATGGGGACATCTCTCTGGTGGGATCCTGGTATTAGGTGGCTCCATCATATCCTTGTGTCCTTCTGAAAACCCCACCATCACTGCATACTCCCTATCCTCTTCTTTAAATTCCTCCTTGACAACGATATTATAATCTCTAAAGTTTCCATTCTGAATAAAAAATAAAAACATTTATTGTAATACTTGTGTATAAATCACAGCCACAAATAGCTGTCAATCTACCTGATGATGGTGAGGGATGGTGTGACCTTCCTGTGTGGAATCCGGGAATACAGAGGACAGGGACAATCTATCTGGTGGTTCCCATGACTGGATCCATTTACCTGATGATGTTTACCCTGATATGAGGTGAGGGATGGTGTGATCTTCCTGTGTGAAATCCCGGGATACACGGACGGGGGACATCTCTCTGGTGGGTTCCCATGACTGGATCCATCTGTAGGAAACACACACACTGACTGAATCCATTGTTTCTATGTGTTTATCAGATGATGGGGGATCTAGGTGGATCCTCCGTACTGCTCACTGCTCTCTCCTTTACAATAAAGTCTCCTCTTACCCGGTGATGATGTGAGGGGCGGCTGATTGTCCATCATGACGTCCTTGTAGAGATCCTTGTGTCCTTCTAAATACTCCCACTCCTCCATGGAGAAATAGACAGTGACACCCTGACACCTTATAGGAACCTGACACACACAATGATACAGTCACCATCCAGACACATCCCTTGTCTGTTACTGGAGAATGTCCCAGAATTCCCGGCACCGCTCACACTCTCCTGTCAGCAGCTCAGTGATCTCTCTGGTGACTTCTAGAATCTTCTTCTTCTTTCTCTCTTCTATCAGGGAGGGAGGTGGAGGCAATGTGATGTCATATGATCTCCAGACTTCACAGGAGGAAAACTCTAGATATGAACATGAATAGTAAAATCAAATGACATTCCCAGAATCCTCCTCACCTCTTTGGTCAGGTCTCAATTTTATTATAGCCCCACTTTAGGCTGATGTAAAATTATCCTACACAGGACCCCTCCAACTATGTAGGCTAAAAGCTGATCACAGGCATTCTGACATCATTACATACAATGCAGGACCAACTCTGCCCCAAATTATATCACCAATCTTGTCTCCAAATATCACCCAAACTGTACTCTCCACTCTTTGCACAACTTCCTGCTCTCTAGCTCCCTTGTCTCCTCCTCCCATGCTCATCTCCAGGACTTCTCCAGAGCTTCCCCCATCCTCTAGAACTCTCTATGACTATCACCTACTCTGCCCACTTTTAGGTGATCTCTTCAGCATATTCTGCCCTCAGCTAACAATAGAATCTTCTATTCCTCAAACAAGTTCCATCCCCCACAGTTATTACCTTTTGTACCACTAGCCCCTCCCTCCTAGATTGTAAGCTCCCAGGATCAGGGCCCTCCTAACCCTCTTGTATCGAACTGTATTGTCTCCTGTTATTATTATTATACAGGATTTATATATAACAGTCCTGCTTTGCCAGTGAGGATACTAAGGGTCTGCCCACATTTTGAGAACATCGGAAAAAAGGTAAAGGAGCCGGATGGAGGGACGTTGTGAAGAGGAGCTGTGAGGTCAGTGTGATGTCATAGGATTCTCTGACTCTGGATTGAGGGACATTGGGAGGAGGAGCTGTGAGGTCAGTGTGATGTCATAGGATTTTCTGACTCTGGAAGGAGGAACATTGGGAGGAGGAGCTGTGAGGTCAGTGTGATGTCATAGGATGTTCTGACGCTGGAAGGAGCAACATTGGGAGGAGGAGCTGTGAGGTCAGTGTGATGTCATAGGATGGTTGGAGGGACATTGGGAGGAGGGGCTGTGAGGTCAGTGTGATGTCATAGGATTCTCTGACTCTGGATAGAGGGACATTGCAAGATGGAGCTGCGAGGTCGGTGTGATGTCATAGGATTCTCAAACTCTGGTTGGAGGAACATTGGGAGGTGCGCTCTTATTATTATTATTATACAGGATTTATATGGCGCCAACAGTTTGCTCAGCGCTTTACAATATAACGGGAGACAATACAGTTCAATACAAGAGGGTTAGGAGGGCCCTGTTCCTTGGAGCTTACAATCTAGGAGGGAGGGGCTGGCGGTACAAAAGGTAGTAACTGTGGGGGATGGACTGGTTGGAAGAGTAGAAGATTCCATTATTAGCTGAGGACAGGATAGGCTTCCCTGAAGAGAGAGGTTTTCAGAGATCGCCTAAAAATGGGCAGAGTAGGAGATAGTCGTATAGATTGGGGTAGAGAGTTCTAGAGAATGGGGGAGGCTCTGGAGAAGTCCTGGAGACAAGCATGGGAGGAGGAGACAAGGGAGCTAGAGAACAGGTGGTTGTGGGAGGAGCAGAAAGTACGGTTTGGGTGATATTTGGAGACAGGATTGGTGATGTAATTTGGGGCAGAGTTATAAATGGCTTTATACGTTATTGTTAATGTTTTGAATTTTAGCTGTTGGGCAATGGGAAGCCAGTGGAGGGATTGGCAGAGAGGGGTGGAGGACACTGAGTGGAGGCCAGTGGAGGGATTGGCAGAGACGGGTGGAGGACACTGAGTGGAGGCCAGTGGAGGGATTGGCAGAGAGGGGTGGAGGACACTGAATGGAGGCCAGTGGAAGGATTGGCAGAGAGGGGTGAAGGACACTGAATGGAGGCCAGTGGAGGGATTGGCAGAGAGGGGTGGAGGACACTGAATGGAGCCAGTGGAGGGGTTGGCAGAGAGGGGTGGAGGACACTGAATGGAAGCCAGTGGAGGGATTGGCAGAGAGGGGTGGAGGACACTGAATGGAAGCCAGTGGGAGGGATTGGCAGAGAGGGGTGGAGGACAGTGGAGGGATTGGCAGAGAGGGGTGGAGGCCAGTGGAGGGATTGGCAGAGAGGGGTGGAGGACACTGAATGGAGGCCAGTGGAGTGATTGGGAGAGGGGTGGAGAACAGTGGAGGGATTGGCAGAGAGGGGTGGAGGACACTGAATGGAGGCTAGTGGAGGGGATTGGCAGAGGGATGGGGACACTGAATGGAGGCCAGTGGAGGGATTGGCAGAGAGGGATGGAGGACACTGAATGGAGGCCAGTGGAAGTGGTTGGCAGAGAGGGGTGGAGGACACTGAATGGAAGCCAGTGGAGGGTTGGCAGAGAGGGGTGGAGGACAGTGGAGGGATTGGCAGAGAGGGGTGGAGGACAGTGGAGGGATTGGCAGAGAGAGGGGTGGAGGACACTGAATGGAGGCCAGTGGAGTGATTGGCAGAGAGGGGTGGAGAACAGTGGGGGATTGGCAGAGAGGGGTGGAGGACACTGAATGGAGGCTAGTGGAGGGATTGGCAGAGGGATGGGGACACTGAATGGAGGCCAGTGGAGGGATTGTCAGAGAAGGGTGGAGGACACTGAATGGAGGCCAGTGGAGGGATTGGCAGAGAGGGGTGGCAGATATGGAACGGTTAGTAAGGTGGATGAGTCTGGCAGCAGCATTCATGATGGACTGAAGAGGGGATAGCCTGCGATGAGGTCAGCCAATGAGGAGGGAGTTACAATAGTCAAGGTGAGATATAACCAGGGAGGGAATAAGTTGCTTAGTGGTTTCCGAGGTTGGGAACGGGCGTGTCTTGGAGATGTTGTGGAGGTGAAGTCGGGGGAGGGGGGCACAGGCTGGGGGGAATACTAAGAGCTCAGTTTTGGAAAGATTGAGTTTGAGGAAGTGGCGTGACATCCAGTCCGATATGTCACTTAGTAGGTTAGTAATGTGAGAGGAGACTGAAGGGGTGAGGTGAGGGGTAGAAAGATAGATTTGTGTGTCATCAGCATAGAGATGGTACTTACAGCCATGTCAGGTTTCTTTACGTAGAATCATTTCTCCCAGGATAGTAAATAACATCTTATTACCTCCTCTGCTGCCATATCCAGCAACATCTCCTCTCTACTTCCTCTCTCACCTG